CAGCAGCTTCCAGCCTCAAGATAGGAGCATTCGGGGCTGGGACTCTTTATCTGGGAGAGTAGATCCAACAGACCCCAGGAATGACGTCTGAGCTTTCTATCCAGAAGGCTGTAGTGTTATGTACAGTTAAGATACTGTGCACAACCCTTAATCTCTTTGGCCTTTGGTATAGGATCTGAGATTGAGGAAGATATATACTACCCATAAGAGTGAGAAGGTAATTTTATTTATACATACACACTGTAGTGTGTGTTTCAGAGGTGGTATTCAGCAGGTTCTGACCAGTTCTGGAGAACTGGTAGTGGAAATTTTGAGTAGTTCAGAGTACCAGCAAATACCACCTCTGACCAGATCCTGTCCCATCTATTCTCTGCCTCCCGAGTCCCAGCTAATCGACTGGGTCTTCTTTTGTTGCGGTGCCCAGGAGAACGGAGTTGGAAAGCAGGTTAGTGGGGTGGGGAGGGAATGGGATTTTGCAATAACCTTACCCCTGGAGTGGGATGGGAATGGAGATTTTACAGTATCTTCCCCTACCACGCTCACCAAGCCACAGCCACCAAGCTATGCTATGCCCACCAAGTCACACTCACAGAACCGGTAGTAAAAAAAATTGAATCCCACCACTGGCATGTTTGCATGTTATTTTATGTGTGTATAGATATGTCTATGTGTATAACACACACACACACACACACACACACACACACAAACATGCATACTGTATGTGTATGTATAAATGTGTGTATCTGTGTATATACAAAGACATACACATTTTGATTATTTTGAAGTACAGTACATCAGATGTATATGGCTTCCTTTGAAATTACAATAAAATAACCTAGCTAAGATAACTAATTCTACCTTAGTTACCTTAATCAATCTGAGTCATTATTCACAAACTTTCCATCAAGAAGTCATTTCCTAAATAAAGTGTCTGAATTATCTGTAACTAACATTAGACTAACTGCATATTTCTCTTGTAGCAGCCAGAACAGTTAATCCAAAGAATAAGCTTTCAGTTCTGATTAATAATATTTCTTTGCAAGGTAGATAATGATACAGCACATGAATTCCAATGATTGTTCTATTTCCAAATGAGAAACCTATATAGAGACAATTTTAACAGAAGCTTTTAAATTTGCTTGCTTGTGCTTTTTGGTTATAGAAGAGTAGGACTTTTTTGTGTATGTGAAGGGAAAGCAAATAGTATATCTTGATTGCTCTGGAAACAGCTATTAGGTTTCCTATCAATATGTGAATCAGTTACTCTATTGGTCTCTGAGTTCCTTTTATTTACTGAATATCTGATGTTCTGTCATACCCCTGGCAAGAAATCAGCAACTAGAAGAAGAGAGGGAATGGGAAGACGCACCTGTAAGACTTCACTCTGAGGGTCAGAGAAATCAAGCTGAAAAATGCCCCACTGATTCTGCATCTATGTACCTTGACTCAGTTCTAAGTCTTAGCTACTCAGACTAAAAGAACATTCTCAACACTGTGTTGAAAGCTAAAGAGAAAAGAAACAACAGGCAGACTTAGGAAAAATTGCCATTTCAAAAAAAAAAAAAAATCTTGCTCCCAAGTAGACCATTTTCTGCTATCAGAGTTGACCAGAACCTAATATGTTTGGGTAGAAGCTGGCAACGTTCAACATATAATGGTTCTTTCTATGAAGAACTAAATCTTGACACTTGGCACAAAACCTCACTTTGTGCCCCTTGCTTCCAATGAACAAAAGAGACTAATCTCCTGTGGTTTTACATCTAGTTACATCTGGTTTTTGGAAAATTTTGGTCTTCTCCTTGCTCGTGCTCGGCAGATAGACACTTGGCTTCAGAATGGACTATTTCTTAAGGCAGGACTGTAACAAAACTTTGCCACTGACTTCAATAATTGGCCTCTGATAATGTCAACACCAGACTGTTAACAATTTTGCTACAACCTTATGGGCCACAGAATTCCTTACCCTACTTTCGGAAAATATTAACTTTCAGTTAACCCAACTATGGACTCTCTTAATGTGTGCTTGTGAGATATCCATGTTCTGCTTCTCTAATCAACTATTTAACCATGCATAAGATGCTCTCATTGAGATGAGTCTACCAGACTGCTTCACCTCAGATTCTTCTCTCATTCCACTCTCATAAGAGGATTGCATTGTTTGTTAAAAAGTAACCAGAACACAGCTAAAATTAAGCTTATTTATACTTTGTTGGCTATTCTCTTCTTGAAAACAACGAGTCATAAAGATGCTCAACTTAAATTAGTCTGAGTTGTGCCTATGTAGATGCTCCTATACAAATGGCATTGAAGGGAACAGTAGCTATAAAATAATATTTTATGGAATTGTAATCAGAAGCCTTCAAATATGGTATTTTTTAAAAACAATGCTGTTATTGCACTCTATATAAAATTATCCTACCTTGAAGTTTTCAATAATAATTTTGCAAAAGAAAATTGTTGATTTTCTCACGCACTATGGTGATTTGGTCTTGCCTCACTAATTCCAATTCTTGGGATTCTCCAAAGATAGTAAGAACACCAATCTATTATGTAGGTTTCTTTGGCTCTCGATTCTGTTACATTTTAAAAATGTATTATTATAAGCAAGTTTCAGATAAATTAATAACAAACCCGTTCACCCATCTAATCATTCTGCCAAGTTATACATTAACAAACTAATCAAGATATCAATTTTTGAAGTCAAATCAAAATCCTTAAGCAAGTTGGAAGGAACACTATAATACATTTCAGCTAATCTAACATTTTAATGGAAATCTTCAGGGGCTGTGTGACAAATTGTAGGAAGTTATACAGTCCTTTGGTTGAGGTTCAGTTCTAATTAGTAGTCATAAATGAAATCAATGGAACATTCCCCTGCTGATCATACTTTCTTTTTTCATACTGCTCTCAATGCTGCGCTAGATCGAGAATAAAAAGTGGGGAGCGCTGTTTGTAATATTCTAAAAATTAAAGTTTCTGACAATATTAGTAACTTTTATTTAAATGTGAGAATCTGTTCCATAGGGTAATTTTATCTGTGGCTAGAAAATATTTAACATTTAAAGTATTAATTTAAAATTTGAATGAAACCTCTCTCTCTCTCTCCCTCTCTCTTATAATTAATTATAAAGTAAAGCTGTTTGTACACACACACACACACAGAGCCTCACAAAACTGATACACTCTGGTTTCTCTTCTCCTTTTACTAAAACTGATATTTTTTACAGATAAACTCTCACATATTTGTCAAATGTTATACAATGTTGAAGTTGTGAGGGACTTCATGAGATTTCTAAAATCTTGCCAGATTTGTGGAACTTTAAATCTGCACTTAAACAGACAGATTTTATCACTATATTTTTCTTTGCTTTAAAAAAAAGATTTTTTTAAAGCACTGACAATTCCACTTCTTCCTATCTGGGTCTGTTTTTTTTTTTTTCAATTCCCATATGCCTCGGGTTTCTGTATTTTCATTGATGGAAATAATAATTCTAATTTCCTGGTGAATGTTGCAAGCAGAAGGTCTTGAATGTTCCTTTCTGACTGTTTTCCTTCCATCCATTTTTAAAAAATCAATTCCAATCATTATCCTCTCAGGTACCATGAGTGTCTGCTACAAGTGAAAATGCCAAAAATTGACAACGTTTTATTAAAAAGCATAAACTTCAGTATTGTTGGGAGATGTGCTAATTGGAAAAGGTGTTACCAGACTCCTGACTTTTGACAACACAGCTCTCTTTCTACTATGCTAGACAGTAGATTAAGAATTATTTTCAATATACTTTTTACTGCAATTTAGTGATCATCCAGATTTTTTTTTTCATTCAAAGATCAAATTATTTGCAGAGCCAATGAGCATCTCCACTTTTCTGTCATCTAACTAATTTATGTTAACCAGAACTCTATGACATCCATTTTCTCGGGACTAATGAAAAACAAATCTATCTAACTGTAACATTGCTAGTTTATATTTTACTTTCTAAGATTACCATAAAGTAAATTGAAAGATAATTTGTCTGAAATCAAAATAAAATACGAAGGATGTTGTTGGATTAGACCCAAGGCTTATCAAATTCAGCATGCCTATGGCAAGCCTCAGGCAGGATATTAATATAACAGCAAGATTCCTATTATCTAGCCTTGCATCTGATATTAAGAGCATACTACCTCTAATACTAGAAGTAATATATCTCTATGAAGATTATCCATTGATAATCTTATTTTCAATAAATTTCTCTAATCTTTTAAAGCTCTTCAGGTTATGGACAGACCATTACTAATTAAATGGGTTACTAACACAATACTTTATTTTAGATATGTTCAATAGCTTTTTACCATTTTATTCATTGTATAAACACATATGTTATTGTGAAATAGGAGGAAATTTCCATTTATTTTTCATAATCCTTGATTGTAATAATTGCCCTCATATACCTATTTATCTGCTATTTTTACAAAGTATCATAAGATATAGATGTTATACATAGGATTCTTTGCTTATTTTCCCCTATTTTTATTACCTGCATCTTCATGCTTTTTTCAGTTCTATTTTTATTGCGTTCATCTTCATGCTTTTTTCAGTTCTATGGCATCCTCATCAAAGAGCAATAACCAAAATGTACGTAATATTCCCTTTAGAGATCCAGCTGATATTTACAAACAGTTTTTGTGATATTGGCATTGTGCAATTATTTTAGATTGTATGTTTATAATGATTAACATTTCCTACTTATGTTTTACAATTGTTAATATTTGAGGTATTTTTTTTCATATTTATTCACATCTATTGCTAGGCCAACTATGGAGGAAAGATAGATTATGAATTAAATAAACGACAGACAACAATGACTGAGAAATGAAGGAAAAATTGACTGAGGCTTAAGCCTCTTCCTCATCTGTCTTCAAAGCAAATTTTTGTACTGTTTCAAAAAAGAGAAACAGGGAGGGAGGGAGGGAGGGGGAGAGAGAGAGAAAGAGAGAGAGAGAGAGAGAGATACCTGTAAAACAGAAGCACCACTATGAAGAAATTGCAAGCCGCTTTCAGCTGAGTCAATGCCTCCTGTTGCTAAGACAGGAAAACCAGGAAGAGCTCTAGCAATTGCAGAAACAGCTCGAAGAGCTATTGGTCTGATGGCATTTCCTGTGTAAATAAAGAGAGTTCATTAGTGAAGGGCAGGAATTCTCAGACAAGGCTATCTCTTTCTCGGCTTTTGATCTTCTTTTTTTTAACCCTTGAGCTCTTATCTATACAATTAGTTTACTGTCTTCCTTCAAGACTCTTCCATAGTAGAACCTTTCCTGGTCTCGCCTCCAGTTTTCAAAATCACTAATTTATATGTATATATGGAGACATGCTTTCCTGCCTTCATATTACATTTACCAATCATTGCCAAAACATGATTTTATCATAAAAAATGAACCCAGGTGATGTATACTTAATGCTATAAGCAGGAGTTGGATCCTTTGAAAAATGCTAAACTACAAGGTCACTATGGGTTGTATGTAAATGGCCATAGCTTTCTCTACCATGCAGAGGAACTATCAAGTTAAACCAGACAAGAGAACTGTGATATGCCAAACTTACTTCTGAGAACAGTACAAGTGTAAAGTGCAGATGGATCAGAACAAAGAAACAGAACAAAAAATAAATTGACTTAATTCATATTATTCCCTGTGAATCTAAGGCTTCTTCCTTCTATTGCATTTACAATAGTCATTCAGAAGTAACACTTGAAGGACTTTGGGTACCATGTTCATGGGGACCTGGGGGAGATGTATTTAATGTCAATGAATTACTATGTGGACACTAAAGCACTTAGTAGAATCACACTCAACTTTTGACACTAACTGCTACTTGGTTTATGCTTATGTGTATGCAAACCTGAGTTAATAATCTTCCACATGCTATATACCCAATAAAGATGAGTAAAATACAATTATAATGGCCTAATAAGGATATACCTTTCAGATCAATGTACCTTTCCAAGCAATCAGCAAGTTTGACTTGGAGCATGGGTGTCAAACTGGACCGAATGCATTATGTGCAGGCTACGCCTACCCCAGCTCCATGAATGGGGAAAATGTCAAGAAACATCATGTAACAGCCATGTGACACCGTGGGTTTGATACCTGTGACTTGGAAGATTCTTATAGTCCAAAAATAGTTTTCTATACTTTGGTGAATAATAATATAAACACAATAATTTTATTCCATAGAGTAACCTCCACAGCAGATATAATCCCACACAATGCTGTTCCTACTGATGGAAAACTCCTTTGTTGAATGAGTGGGCTGGAAGGCTTCACCTCCAAACTGCATTTCCAAAAACTTCACTTTTACATTTTGGCATGATGCGTAAGCAATATGGCCACACTGAGATGTCTCAAGTACTTGGAAAATATTCCCTTTCCTTTAAAAAAAAAAATCTGTTTGCTGATAGGATTTCTCCATAGGACCCTGAAAAAATCTGTTGGGTTGTCATTTTTGAAAGATGTTTCTTCTGTGCTTATTGCCTCCAGGAAAATGTCACCTCCCTCTGACAACCCACCATTTTTACAGTCAACATTGGTCTTTACAAACAGGTTGTCTGACAAGCCTATCCCATCAATGCATCTTGCTACTGAATCAGCATCCAAATACACAGACATGCTGTCTTTATTGACATCTGCTCCTGATTCAGCATATGAATTATCCTCTAGGGTTATGCCACCTTCAGCTGCTTCAGCAGAGATTCCTCCTCATTATTCACCTCCTTTGGCATATCCCCCGTTTTCAAGAATGAACTCGCACCCCTCATGCATCTGCTCCAGAACCAGAATTCAGGCTGTCTTAGAGGGACCGAGAAGAATGAGCCACAAAGAAGGAAGGCTGAGATAATTTGCTTTGCATTGGTGGGATGGTGCAGATCAATTATACCTCTTAGACCACCGGAAACATTGCTGAAGCCAAAATATATAGAGATGGAGGCGGGAAGGTTAGAGAAAGGAGGAAGCCTAATGAGGCACTTAAGTCCAAACAGCAGGTAGAAAATTATCATCTTCTTAATGAATAGTGACCAATGTTTGACCAAACTTGTCCTTTAAAAAAAAAAACAACACCTTAAAGAGCAAAAGTAAAGATCATAGCAAAACAGAAGATCAAACGAGAGAAAGAGAGAGGGCAAAGAATTCCCAATGCGCCTTAATGGATGGCTTGATATTTGCAGCCAGCTTAACAAAATCAATCTTAATGAGAAAAGGAAGAACACAAAGAGGCTTCTAGAATTCATACTGCTCTTTCACACTTGAGGAAATGTCTTTCTTTCTTTTAGATTTCCACGCAGCTACCAAAAATTGACTATAAACCACAGTATGCTCGTGCAAAATTCTTTTTTTCTCCTCTTCTAATGTTGTACAAGAAGCCGTGTTTAAAAATGGAACCAGTAATAAGCAGAGTATCAATAATTCAGTGACTGCCTAATTGGATGTCAGGAGGGCTACAGACTTGCTTAGGCATTGCTTGTGTGAAAGAACAAGGATATTACAAAGACGTACAGGACTGTAGGTTTAGCCCCCATCCTGCCGTCAAAGTCATCCTCCCACTCCCCCAAGGGTTCCTAAAAAGCTTCTGCAGCAGAAAGCCATTTCTATCCCCAGAGGTGCCCTGCATGATTTCCAAATGAAAATTCAGAAGTGATCCTGAAACATATGAATAGATGGGAGGAATGGCCCATCTTGGACCATGGGCTAAATACAGAACGGAAACACCCCCGCATGCAAATTACATCCGAACAGGTTCTGTGCAGCTAACAGAATGGGTTTGTAACCTAGGAGGGAATAAGGTTCGCCCCTGAGGTTTCTCTTGATTGGTGCTGAGTCCTGCAAGAGCCAAGCAGTTTGTAAACTAACATGATAAGAAGAGATATCCCACTTTAAAGAATAATTCAGAAGCATCCCATTGGTTTCAAAAGCAAACAAAATCCATTGAATTCAATAGCTGTTTGGGCTGGCCTTTTAAATGCAACTCAGGTCTTTAAACTGAATGCTTCGATACTTCAGAACAGAAATCATTATCTTATACATTCACTTTGACAAGTGTATCATATACAAGGAATAATTGATTCCAAATACTTACAACATGTGCTAGCTGCTCTAACATATACCAGTGAAACATGGGCACTAACCTCCCAATCGATACAAAAGCTATGAGTGGCACAAAGAGCCATGGAAAAATACATGCTCGGCATTACAGGACAAGATAGCAAGACCCGTACATGGATTAGAGGACAAACGAAAGTATCTGATATCATCAAGAAAGTAAAAGAATTGAAATGGAAATGGGCTGGTCACATAATAAAAAACAACTGATGGCACGTGGACCAATGCAGTCATAGAATGGATCCCAGTTGATAAAAATCATCCACGAAAGAGACTTAAAACAAGATGGAATGGTGACATCAGCAAGTATTGGGGGTCCAGTTAGCAAAAGAAAGCTTAGTACCGAATGGGTTGGAAACAGGCAGAAGAGGCCTTCTTCTGCAGTGGAGAGATAAGGGCTGTCCCAAAGGTGCTTTTTCAAGAGAAAACTGGGCTTTCTGGTTTTTCTTTGAAGACGTTTCGCTTTTCATCTAAGAAGCTTCTTCAGCTCTAAAGGGTGTCCATCCCAAAATGCTAGGCTAAATGTTTGAAGAAGCTTCTTGGATGAGAAGGAAAACGTCTTCGAAGAAAATCTAGAAAGTCCACTAGTCTCTTGAAAAAGCATTTTGGGGACTACCATGGCCTGGATGACTGAGAGTCTCCATAGATATAGACAATGGCTAAAATTAGGTTGATGAAATACTTACAAAGTTCTAGAACTTAAAACATTCTACAGTGTAGCAGTGCTTTCTAGAAGCTAAGAGCCTCCCTACACCTAAAAGGTTTACAAAAAGGCTTTCAAGTGCTAAAATGCCGTTCACTGTATGACAGGATATGGTCTTCTGATTTGCATACTTCTGCTTGCTTGCTTTGATTAGTTTTTCTTAAGGGTGGATGGATGGGCTATGGCAGCACAATCCTATCCAAACTTACATAAAAATAAATTCCACCAATCTCACTTTAAATCTTATGTGCCCAGGACTGAAAACTAACAGTGATATGAATAGCAGAAGAAATAAAGTAAATAAAGAAATAAAGTAAACTAACAGTGATATGAATAGCAGAAGAAATAAAGTAAGTATCATAACGCAACCTTTTTTCCATCTTTTCCAACCTTTTTTCTAGCATAGATAGTCCTTAACTTACAACCAATGGTGGGATTCAGCCAGTTTGCACTGGTTCAAGCAAACTGGTTGTTAAATTAACCCCGACCTGCTATCAAAATGGATCCTCGGCACTGCGTTGCAGTGGAGAAACAGGCAACGGAGCAGCCAGTGCAAGGGAAGGAGAAAGCTGCTGACTATTCAAAGTTACAACTGTACTGAAAAAGGTGACTTACAATTATTCTTTTCCCTTACTACACCCTCATGGTCACATGATCAAAATTGGGAAGTGGCATGTATTTACAATGGTTGCAGCATCCCAGGGGGTGGGATGTTCATGTGATTTGCGATCTTCTTAGCCGGCTTCTGACAAGCAAAATCAAGGGGCAAAGCCAGATTCATTTAACCACTGCAGGAATCAACATCTGCAGCAATTTGCTTAACCACCATGGCAAATTTTGTAAAATTGGGTACAATTCACTTTTAACAACTGCCTTGTTTAGCAACAGGATTCTGGTTGCCACTTCGGTTGTAATTGAGGACTATCTGTAATCCTCTTCTTGGGAAGAAACAGGGGAGGTTGCTGTCCTGTGTCTTGTTTTACGGGCTCCTGTGATTATCCCAGTGGCCAGAAATGGACTCAGAAACTTTTCTTCTATTTGAATCTCTTCGGCTATTTAGGCTCACAAGTCCTATCAGGCCCAGCCTATCAAGAGATCAACAGTGGCAAGATCATAATCCTACCCATCTCAAGGGACATATTCATCTCTAGGGAAGATTGGGTCACTGGTCTATGTTCTTAATCCAGAAAACAGAGCTATTGCATCTCTTATACATTATTATTTCCCCCAAACAATTTCTGTCTCGTAATTCTCCATACCCATAGACAGATAAGTGAAAGTACTGTGCTCCTCCTTTCTCT